GCAAATGATAGAAAATTCTCATATCATTCTATCTCATATCATGAATAAAAGAGTACAAAGTCGCACTTCCGAGCCTACCAAGCGGGTAGAAAGAAAATGGGAGAGCCACTATACACAGTGTCTATAAACACCCTACTCGAGGTATCAAGCAGGTACAAACACCCGACCCTTGATAACTCTTAGCCACCAAGACTGCACAAACTACAACCAAAGAAAGAAACACAAACCAACACAACTTAAAGACGAGAAACAAAGGACACTAGATCATTACCCAGTCTGACAGTCCAAACTAAGACAAACCAAATAACAAGGAACAAAGCCAGAAAAGAAAACTGACTGAACTAACTACAAAGCTAGAACACACACCAAGGTCAATCCCCTGAAGCTCTCATCTCCTTCACTGCACATAACTCCTTTCATTCCACCATAGCTCTGTTGATTATGACTGTCTCATGCAGTCTTTCTTTTTGAATACCCACAAGTTCCGACCTCTCCACAACCACCATAATATATATGTAGATAACTGGATTCTAGCCTCGGAGACCTCAGATTTACCAATAGCACATACCTGCCACCAACACTCCTTAAAAATGAAGTTTTGCAAGTTGATCCCATCCCAGGACAAAGGAGCTATCTTCCATACTATTTGAGCCTTTCTGCATTTCAGGAACAAATGTTCTATAGTCTCAGCTTCTTCTCCACACATGTTGCATATGACATCTACTTCCATACCTTTTTTCTGGAGATTCATGCTCACTGGTAGGATTCCATTGAAGCATTTCCAAACAAAATGTTTAATTTTCCCTTTCACTTTCAGTTTCCAGCTTCTATCTCTCACCAAAGGGTCCAGTATCATGGATTTGCTGCTCTCTGCAATGTCAAGCTTCTTCACCTTTTCAGAAACTAGAAGTTTATAAGATTCTGCCACTGAAAAGCTGCCTTGGCTACTGAGTGCCCACTTCCATATGTCCTCTTCTCAAGTTCAATGGTTCCAATCTCAAGTATGGCTTCACTCTCCTGTTCAGAAAACCAATATCTCACCTCTTTTGCGTCCCATTTTCTCCCAATCTCATCAAAAAGATCAGAAACCCATATTGAAGGATTATCACCATGAGATTGAAGTGTAGGTGGTTTGCCTCGCAGAGTAGGTATCCATCCTCCTTCTTGAATCAAAGTACTTCTTACATTCTTGATCTCTTTCTAACAGTTGCCTTTGAATATAGGTAAGACTTGTAACCAGTTGTTCCGCAACCAGGAAGAAGAATCTCTCCTTTGAGTATATGCTCTTGAGGATTTTGGGTACACGAAGATCTGGGTTGTTAGTGATCCTCCACAGTTGTTTCAAGATAAGTGCCTCATTAAAGAGCCTTATGTCTTGGAACCCCAATCCTCCCTCTTTCTTAGGTAAGGATAGCAGGTTCCAACTTCTCCAATGAATACCTCTGCTCTGTTCTCCACCCTGTTCCACCAGAACTGAGCTGTCATTTTAATATTTTCCTTGCAAATCCCTGCAGTTAGTTTAAAACATGACATGGCAAATACTGGAAGAGAGTTTATAACTGTTTTTATTAACACTTCTTTGCCTGTAGTAGAAAGATATATATTTTTACAGCTGAGTAATCTATGTCTCACAGCTGTAATCACAAATTCAAATGCTTCCCTTTTAGATTTTCCAATCCCAAAAGAGTCCCAAGTATCTAGATGAGCTGTGGGCTGTCAGTCCATTCAACATTGTGCAGATGCTGTTCTTCTCATTATTGTTAGTGTTTTTGCTAAAAAACACTGTGGATTTGGACAAGTTAACTTTCTGGCCAGAGAATTGCTCATACCTGTGGAGTATATCCATTAAGAGTAAGGCCTGTCCCACATCAACTTTGCAAAACACTAACAGATCATCAACAAACAATAAATGAGTTAATAAAGGACCCCCTCTAGCCAATCTCAATCCTTTAAATACTCCACCTTCAGCTGCAGTGGAAATCAAGACAGAAAGAGCCTCATAAACAATTAAGAACAAGTATGATGAACTTTATTTGGTACTAACAGTTGATTTTCACCATAGGAGAATAGGGATGTAAGTGGGTCGGGTCGGGTATGGGTTTTGGCAAACTCGAACCCGACCCGCATATAATTTACCCTACCCAAGCCCAACCCGTTACCCAGTTAGTGATCTTCGGGTTCAAGTAAGGTTTTATCCGGTGGGTTAGTGGGTTTTTGTAGGGTAAACGGGTAACCCAAGTCTTAAATTTAGGCTATACTCGACCCATCTAGTTCAGATGAAAACATAAAATAAAATAATTTTACAATTGATTATAATGTAACAAATAATTTATTAACTAAGTTTGACAATAAAAACTATAAAAAATTTATATTATTTTTGGAATAAAAAATGAGATATAATTATTGATCATTTATAGTCTAATATAACATTTAAAAATTAAGTATTTAATTTTTTTAATGTACAAATAACAAAAAATATAATAAAATCATAAAAAATAAAAATAAAATATAACCATTAATCCAAAATATAATAGATAATTTAATTTTTTAAAATAACAAATGACTACTATTATATTTATAATAAGTTATAAATATATAATATGTATGCATATATATAAGATTCAATAGTTGCGGGTAAACGGGTAGGGTAATTGGGTTGGGTAATGAGTTTTTCTATTACACCCGCACCCGACCCAACCCGAGGTTCGGGTAACATAATTCTACCCAAACCCGACCCGAAACCCAATCATCTCGAATTTACTCGACCCGAAAATGCGGATAACCCGCGGGTAACCCGACCCTACGGGTTTTATTGACATCCCTATCGGAGAACTTAGAAGAGTCTGGAATAATTTCTTTTTAGTTTGTCATATTATAACACATACATTTTATTGAGTTCTCTCTTGACGATTTAATAACGAGTAACGTACTCTTGTTGTTCTTGTTCGTACATCTTCAAATTTTAGAAGATGTATATTATAGTGTACACATTTTAGACAATTTTCACTATCTATTTATTTTTTTTATATTTTTCCCCCACCAAAATTTAATTACCATGTAATAAATTCATCTAGGAGTTTTTAATAAAACATGGGCTTTGATACCATTTTTATGCAGAGTTGTACTTTCCGAATAATTTTAGGTACTAAACACAAAGAAATCACGAAAACACATAAGATTTTATGACATAAGTTGAAAGAAATAGGTACTTCTATAAACGAAAACAAGTACTCATTCTTCAGCTTATAAGTATTGGGAAAAAAATCGTGTTTTTAACTTTAGAGAGCATTTTAATTACTCCGTTGGGGGTTGTCATTACTCCATTGGGGGTTGTCATTACTCAAGTGGGGGTCTTTTAGTGTTGTTATTTTTTGTGTGGTTTTGTTTGGTGGTGCTTAGGTCTCATAGCTTTGTCTATGCCTTTAGTCCTCTTGGTCTAGGCCACCCAGTGGGTG